CTTTTCTCTCCCTACCTTCCAAATTTGTTATTTTAATACAGAATAGACAATTATGGATTAAAACAATGACTACTTAATTGAAAACTGAAAGTCTCTTCTTGTTCAAAATCCTGTCCATAAAAATTTTGTTGTCCTCTAAAGCATTCTGTTGTCCTCTTAAAACATATGGTGAATAATCTAATTTGAATAGACTTCAATTTTTTTTTTTAAGTTAGAAAACTACAGTGCTCCTTCAAGTACCTTCTCCGACCTTAAGGGGAGAAATGTCAGAGATGAAAACACATGTACGTATAACAACGTTCATTAAACATTACTTAAAACTACAAGAAATGTTCTACATGCATAAAATGTGATTGTCCACAGTACTTGAGATGCAGTTATCAAAGCAGTTCTTAATGATAATGGGGAGCGTTTACAACACATTACATAAAAAGATACATGGTACATTTAAAAAAAAAAGCAGTGTACCTCAGCATGGTGGCATTTTTCCCTAGTAACAGGATTACTCCGTGGGATTTCCTGTCTTCTGTATATTTAAATATATTACAAAATACAGCTTAAATTAAAAGTATATATTCTAAAGATTTTATAACCACATTTGAATGATCTAGAGAATAACCCCAGAATGTGTAACTGAAAATAATCTTTTTTGAATATAGTGTACTACTTTGAAGTCTATGAAATCCATTTCTAAAATGGCCTTTCTTGATAACACCCTCAGATTCTTTAAAACATACTATTAAATTATTTACTTTTCACAAGAAGTACTACTTGGTCCCATTTTAAGCTTTTGCTTCTTTAAAAACAAATGATTCCTTACATTAGCCACGTTAAACTGTGAACCTGAAATGAAAAATGCCATTATGACAGCATGTCAGCTAAATATATTTCCTTTTATATGTACCAACCTTTAAGTTTATGATATATAATCACAATAATCTTAAATCACTTCATTTTAAATAAGAAGTCAACCTAATTTCTCATGGGATATATCAAAAGGAAATTAAAAAAAAAGTCCTCTCAAAATTCACCTAACAAAACCCTAACTCTGCCTGGCATATTATGCTACAGTCTGAGTAGCTGGGATCGTCACGCGTGCTCTCACGTTGGCACAGCCAGCGAACTGGCCCATTGGCAGCAGGGCTGCCAAGGTCTGCCAGGTCAGTCCCGATTGTCCAGGGTGATGACGGATTTGCACTGTGCTGTCCACACTCCCCGGTGCAGGTTGATGGCTTGCACCTGGAGCCGGTGTGTGCCAGGAAAGTGGACGCCCTAGCACCGAAAGTGCGCCAGAGCTGCCTGCTTCACCCGATGGCCAACCTGGAGGCCAAGAACTTGGTTCCCTTTGATTTGTTTTGTCACCAGCTGTCCTAACTCAAATTTGAAACAGGATTATGTAAACTAGCACAACCCAGAGTTTCCATGGTTTTATTTTTCCAGAAGAAATATCACTATGGAATTTCTAAAATATTTCCTATCATATTATGAATGCAGAGGGGCTTAATGGTAAGACTGTCAGGAAAAAAAAAATTCAACATTCAAGGAAAATCAGGGATGGGAAACACGGCAATCTTTAGTAATCTGGAAGTGAACTGGGAAGTAAACGGAAACATTTACACAAAGCAAAAATAATAAAGCCAATTCCCCAAAGCAACTGTCGTGAAGTTAGTTATTAAAACTTCAAAGATCTTAAAGTAGATAAACAGTAATACCACCATCTGGCCCAAAGATCACTGCATGGGACCCCCGGGACCCTGGGACCTTGGCCTGGCTCTCCTTCTGTCCCATAGTAAGCCGCGCTCATCAGCTTCTCATGTGTAGACTGGGACACTGGGCTTGGCATGGCTAAGAGCCCTTCTGATTGTGAAGTATTCGGAACTCATATTCTTATAAATTATATAAATCATATATTTAACACTTTTTAAAATGTGGATTTTTTTTAACCCCATGGCAAAGATAGAAGTGCAAAAATGTTCTAAGATAAAACACAAAATTTCAAAAGCCTCCTTTTGGAGCAAGTCTCTAAGGGTATGAATAAAAACTGACTGTGGAAAGCACCCACGAAACGCTGCGCTCATCGTCTGAAAGGAGACAGAATCACCCGGGCAGCGCAGAAGGTATTGTCTTAAACTAATTATTGCGAGTGTAACACGGAAGTAGCGCGGACTTTAGACATTCAGGTCCTTTTCACGACACCTAGGACTGTGATTTCTCTCGCTTGACTCTCCTCCCACAGGTATAAGAGAAACCTGAATTCCATCTGACAAATGTCCTCACTGTCCAGCGCCGGGCTGCAGGCTGAGGACTGGATCTGAGGGCAGGGCGAGAGCACGGGCAGACTGCTTTTAACCTTGCAAATCCTCCAGCATCTCCTGCGATGCAGTCTTTGCAGAAAAATTACAACACAAAGCAGAAAGGATGGAAGAGAAGAAGTTTTGTAAACTAGAGCTGCATAGCATCTAGCATCCTCAAAAGTGAAGCCCCCATTAGAACACCAGGCCCCAGGGCGCAAAGTAAAACAACTCTCAAGAAGATAATCACAGTTAATTTGGATTTTCTTCTTTGTTGCCACTTTAATCTAAAAAACAGAAAACAAATGTGTGTTATTTCTCATTAAATACTGGATGAGCATGAACCACAAGCGATGTCACTCAGCATATTTCAGAAGAATTGATCACCTCTCATTTATTTCATATATTCTTATTTCATTCCAGACTTCTCTTTCACTTCTGTAAATACATTAACTCCCTTTCCTTATAAAAACTAAAACGAAAATTCAAACTTAAAAACATTCCACCAAATGTGCTTCAGTTTCCTTATTTTGTATGAAGAATTATCCACTGCTGTACAAATGTGTCTCATGGGTCACCACTGACCCACTGTTGCTGCAGCAAAATTGGAATTACAAAGCCTACCACTGCAAACAGAACAACTGTAAGGAAAAGGTACGTTACAGTTCAGTCAAACCCAGCTACATTATCCTAAAGTTTGTGTGACTTTAAATGAAATTGACTGGGTATTTTAATAGCTTTGAAAATTAAGGAATAAAAACGTTAGTGTATTTTTCTAACTGTTCAAATGAAATTTGCAAGGGATGTTGAAGGATGTTTTCTTCCGAGTACTTAAGCTCAGAAATAAAGTACAGTACCAACAAAACTTGCAAAACTGAATTACCTGTAGGTTTCTAAGAACAACAATGTATACTAGTGAGGAACAGTGCTAAAAACAAGCATATTTATTTTAAAAATAAAGTCATGAAACTTGATATAATTTCATACTTTCTTACATTTATAGGCTTTATAATACTTATAAAGATCTTACAATGTCTTGAGCCTATAGGTTTCATATTATGACTGGTATCAATCAGTTGTCAATTTTTTTAACCTTAAATATTTTAAGAAATTGCAGTGATGTGAGAGAAAACACAGCAGAGCAAATTGGGAAATTTATAAAAAGAAACAAGTGGATGAAAAAAAGAAATCCTAACTTCATAAGAGCCACCCACTAACAGGTGAAAATTCAGCTTAATTCGATCCAGACTGATCACTGCTTCAAGGAATTGATAAGCAAAGCAATGAATCTACTGCCTTCCTGAATCTTAAGAGATCAATTTTAAACTTTATAAGGTGGTAAATAATCCCTCTGAGTAGAGGCTACCATATTATCACTTATGGTCTGCTACAGTATCAGCGATGTACTAAAGCCCATTTGCAAAACAGCATACTATAATTTATTAGATGTCTTTACTGTTCTTAGGAACTAGAAGGATAGCAACTAGTCGTCAGCTTTTTAAATTTCTGGTGAACACTTAAAAGGTTTAATGAGACACTAAGTGCCACGCATTAGGCTTTTCTCACATAAATATAGGATCTGAAGTATAAATTGTCAACACTATACTGTTTCATTAAATGAATCTTATGAAACCTAAGGTACTAAAGCTTCATATTCTGATGGTAATGTAAACAAGGAATAAATTCACATACTTTTAGTTTTGAAAACTTCTGAATTCAAAAAAAGTCAAAGATTTCTAGAACCAATGGGACTATTTTATTAATAAAAATACAGAATTGTAAATTTTATTTCAAACATTAAGCATTTCAGGGTACAACTAACTTAAAGATAATGCAGGACAAGATGCCTTGTTATGCTACCAAAAAAATACTTGTCTATTATTGATGGCATCAATTAAGAACTGTTTATTTATACCTTAATGGCTTATTCTTTACAAAAGAACAGACAGAGAGAACTAAGCTGAAATAAAAATATCTTCAAATTCCTAACTACCGAACATAAGAACCTATGACCGAAGCATTTATTTATAAATGCTATCTCTGGTTACATCCTTAGCTAAAACCCATTTAATCATGCTCATTTTAAAAATATATTAGCTGGATGCCTGATAAATTACTGGCCATTTACGGTCCACTTTAAATATTTTGTAAAAATATTCTGTAGCAAATCTAATTCCAGTTTACTTTATGATCTAGAGAAGTATTTTTAAACTTGTTTAAAAATCTTTTTTATTTCAGAATATTTTGAATATACGATTCTACATTTTCATACATTTGCATTACATGTTTCACACTCTGCCCTAAAAATCCCTAATTTTATTCAGACAGTTTTATTAAGGAAGTAATGCTCCAGCCTCCGAACGTCATTAGTTTAGCAAAAGCCCCAAACCGAGAACTATTTATGGTACAGAACTCTTCTTTCTTACCAACTTCGCGCGACTCTTGCAAATTGTTTCATGAATATAGCACGGAACTCTGCGACCAGAAGTCTAGCCACATAAATATTCAAGCTCTCTATTTAAATCCTTAAAAAAAAAAAAAAAATCCACCATTTCAAAACTATTTCCAAAGAATATTTATATAAGACATTGCTCCAGTAAAATTGTTGAGCATGCTAATAACTAATTATCACCTGAATCAACAACATTCTCTATCATTGCCCTTAGTGCATTTATCAAATACAAAAACATGAACACATTATAATTCTTTTAAGAATCTTTATTGGTTTTTTTAACAATTCAGTTTGTTGGATCTCCGTGCAGTTTATTAAAAAAAATTCAATAGTTTCATATAAACTGCAATCAAAAAAGTAGTTTACTTTGTCAATGAAATAATCTGAACTTGCCAGTTATTGTGTGTAATATGCAGAACAGTAAAATGCAAGCATGCTCTCGCATGCAGATGCTCCTGTGTACTATGGAGTTATTTTTAGAGCTTGCTACAGTCTGCAGGCAGTTTATGGGATGCAATTATTTTCTTCACAATTTTAGGTACATGAGAGCAAAACTGATATTTGTGAATAAAACACTTTTCTCAAAAAAGTTGAGGCAGCTTTTGTCCAATGCTATCTGTGCGGGTACACGTGCTACACCTTGAAATGTACCAGGAGAGACAGGAGGGCAAGGAGTCCGCGTTCATGCAGCAACCTGAAAGGCTCTCCACACGTGTTGAGGAGTCCAAGCAAACAGGAGGGTGAAACACTGCACAGCTGTTCATTGCTTTACATTAACAGAAAACACCAAGAAACTTGACATAACAAGAAAGCAGATCCCCTTCACCGCTTTGCAAGTCAGTGGTGTCTACAGTGGAGGGTGGAAGCGCAGCTAACCTAGTAAGATAAAGCTTAAGTCTACACCTCATGCAGTGCTGTCCTTTTTCCGGTCCTCTAGTGTTTCTCAGACATCTGAATTGGAACTGAGGTTTGTTAACCTGGGGTCCGCGTTGATTTCGTATCTGTAATGATACCCTTCCATGTGATCCCTGCAGGCATCTCTGATGTTGTGCATCCACTTTTTTATCCCTTTTCGGTTCAAATACAAAACGAGGAGGAAAATTGCGCCTATCAGGGCTAAAACAATACCCAGGAAGACATACGAAGTCTGTAGGGAAGGAGGCAAGATAGGATCACAGTCCAGGTCAGCGACATTGAGCTCCACAAGCATTTGATTCCTCATTTTTTCCGGGAACGCACAGGTGAGCCTGGCTTTGCCCTCCACTATCTGGGTCTCCCTGAGCCAGGTCACCATGTCCACCATGTGACAATCGCAGACCCAGGGGTTGTTGTCCAGAAATACCTTGACATGCGCCAGGCCTTGCAATTCTGCCAGGGTGCCGTTATGAAGGACTTTGAGCGCATTGTCTTCTAGGTGGAGTCGTTCTAGGTGCGTAAGGTTGCGGAAGGACAGGTAGGTCAAGCTCACCAGGGAATTGTTACGCAGGTCCAGGTGCCTGAGGGCAGGCAGTTGGGACAGAGCGTCCCTGGGCAGATAAAGAAAGTGGTTGCTGGCCAGCTCCAGGCGCCAGAGCCCATGCAAGGCGTGGCCCGCCCGCAGGGCGGCCCCCACCATGCTCTCCACACTTTGGTTCTGTTTCTGTTTCTGGTCCTGATGCTGGTCCTGGCCCGGAGGAGGGGGTTCGATGATGTGGTTCAGGATCAGTTCCGACAGGGCGCTGGGGGCCGAGGCGCTGGCGTTGATGGCGGAGAAGGCGAAAGGGCTGAGGTGGACCAGCGGGTTGTGGCTGAGGTCGAGCTGCCGCAGGCCGGGCAGGTCCTCGAAGGCACCAGCGTGCACCTCCCTCAGGCGGCTGCCGCTGAGGTTAAGCGCGGCCAGCTCGGCCAGGGGCGGGCGGCGGGCGAAGGCGCCGGCGGGGAGCACCGCCAGCTGGTTGCCGGTGAGGAAGAGGGTGCGCGCGTAGGGCGGTAGGTCCGCGGGCACCGCGCTCAGGTTGCGGTTCACGCACTTGACGGTGCGCGCCGCCTCGGAGCACTCGCACGGCGCGGGGCACGGGCTCGACGGGGGCGGCTGGGCCGACGCGGCCGAAGCCAGGAAGGCGGCGGAGGCGCTGGAGGAGGTAGCGGGGGAGGCGGGCGAGGACACGGAGACCCAGCCCAGGAGCACCAGCGCCAGGCGCGCCAGCCGCAGCCTCCCGTCCCCGGCGGCGGGGCCCCGAGAGCGCCCCCCAGGCATCGCGGCTCGCGGCTCCCGGGGCCGGGCTGGGCCGGCGCCCGCTCGGGAGGCTCGGGGGGCTGGGCCCGGAGGCACCGGCCGGCCGGAAGCTCCCGGAGAAAACTTTGCTCCCGTGGGCGCGGAGCAGGGACCCCGCGGCCGGAACGGGCGCCCCCTCCCGGGCTGACTCCCCGCCCTTCCTTCCCTCCACGAAGTACGCACGGCGATCCGGACTCGGCTCCGCGCTCCTCCTCCCGCCGCTTCCCGCCGCCGCCCGCGTGGCCCCTCCTCGCCTCTTCGGTCGGCGCCTCTGCCTCGGTGAGCTGCGCGACCTGGGACGAGACAGAGAAGCGTGAGGTGCGGCGGTCTCCCCGCGGTGTCCCTGAGTCCGCTGCCCCGGCCCCGCCGCACGCGCCACCCGGAGAGGGACCCGGAGAGGGACCCGGAGAGGGACGCGCGCACCGGGATCTGGGCGCCAAGTCCTCCGCATCCCGGGCCGCGCTCTATATAGGCGTCCAGCCCCCGCCCCCGCAGCCGCCGCGGTCACACCCGTCCCCGCCCGCCTCCAACTTCTCGGAAATCCCGGCGGGTTCCCTGGCGCGCTCCCCGCCCTTGCAGCCCCTTCGTCCCCTGCTCCGCGGACCACCTGCCTGGCCGCGTCTCCGCCCGCCGGGACCTCTTCCCCGCTCCAGGTGGGGACGAGAGGGAAGTTTCGCGTGCGGGCGTCTTTGGGTTCCCTTCCGTACCTTCGCGAAGGAGGAGCAAACGGAGAGCCACGCAGCGGCAGCTCCAGCCCGCGCCCCCAACCCCTCGGAGCCCGGCTAGGTTCAGGACATCGCCCGAGGGGCAGTGGGAGTCGGCAGACAAAGCGCCCGGGACCTCGGGCTGCAGCCGGGACAGAAGCCACCCTCCAGCCTGGGGGAGGGAGGGTCCCCGCGCAGCCTCGCGCTGCACCCCGGGCGCCGCTCACCTCCGCGCCCAAAGCCAACTCCACGCGCCCGGAGTGGCGCTGACTTCCCGGCTCCGCGCGGCCGGCGTCCGCACCCCTCGCGGCCCAGCTTCCACCGCTGGGCAAAACCAACCGGGCGCGGGGGGGAGGGGGACAGCGCGCCCGCCGCAGGACTCAGGCCACCCCTCGGACCTCGACAGCCCTGGGCGGGGTCAATTTAGGAAGAAACTGGAGGGGGGTTCGGGCCTCGCTCCGCCTCCTGGCAGAAAGGAACGATGAATATGCTGGAAAAGGCGAGGGAATCCCTGTTCTCCCCCCTTGCCCGCATCCTTTGGCGGCTCCATATTTTGCATACTGTATTTACATTGGACTGGAACAAAACCGCTGGTGAATCTCGTGGAATTCACCCAGCCTCGGGCAGCTTTGTCGGCGGGGAGGCAGAAGCAGGCGTGAAGAGCAGAGGACCCGAAGCAGCGGCAGCAAGAAGTGAGCAGACTATGTACCCGGGCGGTGGCAGCCGTCTGCAGGTTGTAAGGACGCCCTGGAAGGTCCCCCCACCCAAATGGCACCCTAGATGTCAACTTTAGAGTCCGGCAGGGTCACAGCTTGGCGGCCTGCGCGCCTGCCTCGGGCAGCTGTGCAACTTGTAAGGACAACTTGTAGGGAGGATGGTGGAGAACCGACTCATTCTCGATTCATTAGTTTTTCTCTTCCCAAAATTAAAAGCAGAGAAGGAAAGAACTGCCAAAGCATCTTAGAAACAAAAGGCAAATACCAAGGACATGAGTCACCCCAAAAGCAGATCCACCTCCCTTGCCAGATGTGGCGCCCTGTGTCAGCGGAGTCACTTAGCTCGAGCCCGCAGAGGACGTAGGATGACAGGACTCAGATGACCAGACCGCAAAGAAGTTTGTCCCAGACTCAGTCTCCCAGCGGGTGCCTGACGGAGGGCAGGGAGATGGGGCTAGGGAAGGGGGCACACGGAGTGGTCTGTGTGGATCTGTCATTAGATAGGAAGGATTTAGGTCCTGGAAGACGTTTCCTGTCTCTCATGGGGAAAACCAAAACCTCTTGTCCACCCTGTAGGGAGGTCTAGTCTTCGTCTTAAAAAAAAAAAAAAAAAAAAAAAAAAATGACAACTAGAGGAAACACGATTGAAAAAAACAAAACTGGCATAAAGAAAAGTAACAGATGTAAAGTAAAATTACAGGGAGTTTACAGGGATTTGTGAAAAAATAAAAAAATTAAAAGCCTGTTCATTATGCTGGATTTGCAGCACATTTACCTAAATCCCCTTTTTTTATTTTTAAAAATGTTTTGCCACATAAATGTGAAACCCTGAAAATGAGTTTAAATAACTGAAAATGTTTTTTTTATCCTAGTTGTGATGATTATAGGAATCTATACACGTGTTAAAACTCATAAGATGTTGCACACCAAAGACTGTTCTACTATAGGAAACTTCTAAAATAAAATTAGTTATTCATGGGAAAGAAACTTTAGTCATGCTCTGACATGGTAATAAATTTGATTCTATCTCAGGAGCAGCTATTCTAGCAGGAGGATGAGATGCATTTTAGTATTTAGAAAAATAGTCCGCGTTCCCATCTGGACCTCTGAACAACTCAGAGGCAAGATAGGTGTCATCCATATTATTGTATGTGGGTTTTGGTTGTTACTCTGTTTTGCAAATGAAAAACACCAAGGCTTTGAGCTCATAACTTTATGGAAATTAGTTCATTTACTCCTCACTTCTGTACTCGGGTTCTCTCAGTCCAATTTCACTGATGAGAAAATTGGTGCAGAAAGCAGTTGTATCACTTGTTCAAATGAATACAGAATGATAGAGAGGAACTGGACCCAGATCTGCACACCTCTCACAATTTCCATGACCTGCATCAGAGAGCTTAAGGGGCTTGGGGGAAGTCCTGTTTTTCTATTAGGTAAAACATAACTCTCATTCCTGGTTCTCCTCAGACTTCTTAAACACACACACACACACTTTCTGGTAGCCAGCAGTGGGTCATTGTGACTGAATAGGGACCACGAAAGTTCCTTTCTGGTTCCAACACCGACTTGCTGTGTGTCTTCTGCATGCTTCCGTTTCTTATTTCTTAATATAGGACCATTAGTAAAGCTTTAAGTCATTGCCTTGGGAGCTAACATAGTGTAGGTAACACATTCAGCCAAATCACCTGCTACTGTTGTTCTCACCTTAATTGCTCTCTTTCACATTATTTGTCATGGCCCATTTTATCTGTGACTATATTAGTAATAGAAGTTCAAGAATTGGTAATTAAAAGATGTTAGAGTTTGCCAGATCCAACAAATAAAAAGTACAGGATACCAATTAATTTGAATTGCAGATAAACAAGGAATAATTTTGATATAAATATATTCTGTGTATTATTTGAGATCTACTTCAACTAAAAATATTGATGGTTATAGTTGTAATTCAAATTAAATTGGGTATTCTGCACTTGATCTGGCAGCACAGTAGCTCATAATCTGGTTAAAGTAACTGATACAGATGCATAAGCTCTCAATGCTGAATGAAGGGCAGTTTGCTCTATTTTTCTATCTCACCTGTCTTGTATGTATTTTGTTTCTGTTTCTGCTATTCTTATGCGGATGAGATAATTATGTATTATTCATAATCTTCTTTAAAACAATCAGATACATTTTTGTGTCCACAAATATAGGTTTACTGTTTTCTCTAAAATGAATTATTCCAGATTGTGGATTGTTAGTTTTTAACAGCCTTATTGAAAGATGCTTATATCAGAAGCTACCTTTTAAGAACAGTTCCTTCAAGAGAGAACAGCTTGCTAGGATCAGTTCTATTTTGATTATCTGAAGCATTTAATTACCCTAAATTATCATACTTTACTCCTGGCAGTTTGAAAAAAAATTTGTATGTAATGTTTTTTTACACGCTCCAAAGCAAGACAGGATTTTGGAGCACATTTTTCGCCATTTATTCTTTGCTCCAAAGTGAAATAAAGAGAAGACCCAAGTGTCCTGACAAGACCAACTTACTGTTTTCAGTAGATTACTTGATAGCCTCCAGGAATATGTCTACACTATCATTTATTTAGAAGATTGTTTCTAAAGAAACCAATTTTATTCTAATGATCCAAAGAGAAGTTATTAGTAAGCTATTAAAATATTGCTACTAAATACTGAGAAAGCAAGAAATAATGTTTTAAAAAGATGACTGATTATAGCTACCCTCATGGTAACTGGCAGAGAAGTCGTGAGGTCCAGCATGGGTGCATAGTAAGATTCTTTAAATACTAGATAATTTTGATCCTTGCCTTAAATTAGTAAAGAGTTCCTAAAGGTGAACATTAAAATCTAAAAAAAAATGTGAAAGAGTCTAGTATTGGTAAACATTAAACATATGTTACAAAATCATGAATCAACACTTGAAACTGGAATGACCAACTTGAGGGTCTAATAAAAGAAAAAACTAGAAAGAAAGTCTACATGGAAAAATAATTTTTAGGCATTCCTAGTTTTATTAAAATAAAACACTTCGTAAATTCATTTTAAATCATTAGAAAAAAATGGTCTTCTGAGATACATAAGTAGATATTAAACTATAAGGAATACATAAATTATAAGCTAAGAAAAAAATTATAATCTAAGGAATGTGTCAAAAAGGACATACTTGTCCCATTCATCAATACAAGGACAGTTGAAGCTAGTAAAAATTATAATAAAGGGGCTGGTGAGATGGCTCAGTGGTCTAAAGCACCTACTTAGAACAAGCTTAGCAAAGCACAGGGACCGCGGTTCAATCCCCCAGCACCACATGCCAGCCCACCTTGCCCCCGGTGGGCTGAGCTGGCCACACACACACACACACACACACACACACAAAACAAAACAAAAAAAAATATAATAAAAAGCCTCAAAATTCATTAGACACTAAACAAATATTAATGAGACAACAAACTAAAAGTTTACAGAAAACATGTGACTTCCAGTATGAGGTAATACTAAAAGGCAGATGCAAATAATCATATAGTCATATGCAATCCTCTCCAAATAGCTAACGTTCTCAATGTTAGTTCAATACATGCTCTATGAAGACCACACTCTATGTATCCAATGGGTGCTACCTATTTGGCATATTGGATATG